GGATGTTTCCCATGCCAAATACCTCAGCAGGGGCCCCATATGGAGGATGAATGTGTGAAATCTAGGACAGTATAGGGGGTTGTAAAGGTTTGGTTATGGGGCACCGGGGCCATGTGGTCCGTGAAGGAGGGAAGGGGGGGAGGGGAAAGGGGAGGGGAGGGGGGCTCCCCAGGCCTCCCCACTGGCTGATCTGCCCTAGGGCTCCCCAGACACTGCCTGGGACTGCGGCTTGCCAAGTGTGCGGCACGTGACTGGTTGGGCTAGGAGATGGTGTGCTGTGGCGCTCCGTACGTGCTCCTGTGTCGGACAGATGGAGGAAAGCTAGGTGATCCTATCCCTCCTCGCGGGCAGCCGGGTAGCTGCCCCGGGAGAGGAAGGGAGTGCTGTCAGCAGGAAAGTTGTGCATAGTTCTTTTGGAGGAACAAGGCTGAGCCCCCCAAGGAGGGACCTGTGCTCAGGATAGAGTCCAGAGGCCCTGGAGGAGCCCATGGGGTGAAGGAGCAGGCACAGGGCGCGGGAGCGGCTGGGCGGGGTCCGGCCCCGAGTCCAGGACATAGGCCCTTCTGAGGACCACAGGGCGCCGGGCCGGGCCGGGGCCTCTGCGGGTGGCAGGACCGGCCTCTCACAGGCCTCTTCCTGGAGCCGGGTGGGCTGGGGGCTGGGAGGGCTCTCCCGCCAGCCCTGGCCGCCTACAGGACCCTGGACAGGACCAGCTCTGGGCAGGGCCACCTCGAGCAGCACCTCGGGCCTCGAGGAAGCCTGTGCAAAGCGGGAGGGGCTGGGAGAGCTAGCCCAGGACAGACCCGGCGACGGCGAAGGTCACAGTGCTGTGACCGGACAGAGCCGCAGCTCCCCGCCCAGGGTCGCCAGGCCTGGCTGTCCCTGGCTGTGCCCAGCTGCACCTTTGGCCACCACCTGCCCATCCTTTGGGCAGTCTGACGGTTCTGCCTTCTCCCCTCTGCCCCCACGCGTCCCTGTGAAGGACTCACCGTACTGGGAACAGATGCTGAGCCGGCCCCGCCCCCGACCTCAGGGTGCCTGAGCTCCTCGAGGGTCTGCATGAAGTGGGCATGCACTTGGCTCTGACTGCAACCTGGACGCCTCCAAATGGCATGGCCAGGCCCGAGGAGACGACCCTGGCCTGGGGAAGAAAGGGAAGAGAAGCTGGATCTTTCGGCTTGGGATTGGCATGTGTCTGCGTCTGGGGACTTCAGGTCCAAGAGCCAGGGTTCTAACCCACTTCCCCAGGATGCGTTCTGGGCCTCCAGCCTGTGGTCTTTCAGGGTGGTGGGGGTAGAGCACGGAGCCCCCAGCTCGACGCGCACCCTTTCTTGGTCCCCTCTGCCACCCGCGCCTCAGCGTGGACATGGGCGTAGCGCAGGTGCCTTCTGGTCCAGATGCCCCCCCCCCCCCTGCTCGCAGTCAGAACTCTGCCTCCACTGCCTGAGCTTCACCTGCCTCGGGCCTCGGGCCTCGGGCTCGTTGCTGGGGCCTTTCTCAAAGTGCGTGGGTAGGGGCTACCTGGAATCGTCTGTCTCCAGACCCCTAGCAGGACGTGACCTGACATGAAGGAGGGTCCTTCTGAAGAATGGGGCTCACTTCCTTGATACACGGGCAGAAAAAACCGAGACCTCAGGGCAGAGCCAGCCTGCAAACCGCCGGCCACCTTGCATGAGGGCCGATGCTCCTGGGCTTCTGGCAGCCTTTCCTGTTTCCTCTTCTCTTCTTCTATCTTCTTCTTGTTCTTGTTCTTTCCCATTTTTGAGAAAGGATCTTAGCAGGCAGCCAAAGATGGCCTTGAACCCCTGCCTCAGCCTCCCTGGTGCTAGGATCATAGGTATATGTCACCCTTCTCCCTAAAATATACCTCTCCCATGTTGTGTTGCTTTGTTTCACAGTGCTGGAGTGGGATCAGGGGCCTCGTGCCTGCTAGTGCTCTATTCCTGAGCCACATACCCCGCCCTCCTTGGCCTCCTCCTGACCCCAGCCTGGCCGGTCTCTTTCCCGATGGCCTCCAGACAGTGCCCAGCCCACTGGAACGATCACCAGATGCAGGCAAGGTTGTGAAGTTTCCTCATAAACATAGGGACTCTTCACTTAGGGCCTTGACTTTGTGGAATAAGAATTTCTGGACAAGTCACGATGGTAAGAAAACTTGGCGGAGCTTTATTGAGCAAGTAAGCAAGCAGGCAAGCAGACACACACAAAAGATCAGAGACACACTGAGTATGGGTGCTCTCAAGATAGACACACACACACACACAGAGCTCCTTGCTGTTGGGGTACTTACGGCTGTTTAGAGTACAGGCAGGGAGTTTGGCTTCCAAGTAACACGAAGATAGGTATTTCATCTTTGCTGTATCTACTCCTGGTGTTACTTTCTGGGTTTCTGGATGCTTGGGGCGTTTCTTCCAGGTAAGAAAGCATCCTGCCATAAAACAGACGCTTCTCCTTGAGATAGGAAGGTGTTCTGTTGTCTACATTTTAGGTAAGAGGTTGCCTAAGTTTGGCGTATTTTTCTCAGGATGCATATATTCAATCCTGGGGTTAGAAATGCATCCTCAGGGGCTGGGAAGGTGGCTCAGTGGTAGAGCGCTTGCCTTGCATGCTCGAGCCCCTGGGTTCGATTCCTCAGCACCACATAAGCAAAAAGAAAAAAGCCAGAAGTGGCGCTGTAGCTCAAGTGGTAGAGCGCTAGCCTTGAGCTGAAGAGCTGAGGGACAGCACCCAGGCCCAGAGTTCAGGCCCCACGACCGGACCCCCCCCCCCAAAAAAAAAAAAAAGAAAAAGAAATGCATCCTCAGGATGTCTGTCCTTAAAGCGAAGATGGCACTTGTGTTTCTAAATACCATATTCCTGAGTTGCCACCACCAGGCTTATTTTCAAGGTACCTGTCTCATTTTCCCTTAATCTTAAGGGAAGCAGATGAATGGCTTCCTCTGTACCTGCTGTAAGCTGGACGTACCTCATTCTCCTTGTCTATCCTGCTTCAGAACCTCAGCTCAGCAGGGCGACCAAAAAAGCAGTGGACAGGTGTGGGCAGGGAGCTTAGACTGAGAAAGACAGGTGTACAGAAAGACAGACAGACAGACAGACAGAAAGACACACTGAGATAGAGCTTGAGAAAGATAAGGGGACGGACTAAGAAAGACAAAGACAGGAAAAGCTGACACAGACACACAGACACACAGATATACACAAAGACACACAGACACAGACACATACACACAGATACACACAAAGACACATACACACAGATACACAGGCACACACATACAAACAGACACACAGACACATACACACAGACACACAGACAGACAGACACACAGCTACACACAAAGACACAGACACACAGACACACAGATACACACAAAGACACACAGACACATACATACAGACACACAAAGACACATACACACAGACACACAGACACATACATACAGACACACACACACAAACAGATACCCAGATACACACAAAGACACAGCTACACACAAAGGCACAGACACACACACACAGACACACAGATACACACAAAGACAGACACACAGACACACAGATACACACAAAGGCAGACACACAGACACACAGATACACACAAAGGCACACAGACACAGACACACAGATATACACAAAGGCACACAGACACAGACACATACACACAGACACACAGACACACAGACAGACAGACACACAGATACACACAAAGACACAGACACACAGACACACAGATACACACAAAGACACAGACACACAGATATACACAAAGACACACACACAGACACATAGACACACACACAGACACACAGATACACACAAAGACACACAGACACACAGAGACACACAAAGACACACAGACACACAGAGACACAGACACACATACACACAGACACATATACAGACACATAGACACACAGACACAGACACACAGACACATACACACAGACACAGACACACACATACACACAAAGACACACAGACACACACAGACACAGACACACAGACACAAACACACAGACACAGACATACAGATACACACAAAGACACAGACACACAGACACACAGATACACACAAAGACACAGACACACAGATATACACAAAGACACACACACAGACACATAGACACACACACAGACACACAGACACAGACACACAGATACACACAAAGACACACAGACACACACAGACACATACACACAGACACACATACACACAGACACATACACAGACACATAGACACACAGACACACAGACACATACACACAGACACAGACACACACATACACACAAATACACACAGACACAGACACACAGACACACACAGACACACAGACACACAGACACAGACACACAGACACAGACACACAGATACACACAAAGACACAGACACACACACAGACATAGACACACAGGCAGACACACACACAGACACAGAGACACACATACAGACACACACAGACACACAGACACACAGACATACACACAGACACACATAGAGACACAGACACACACACACAAAGCCCCTTCCTGATTCCTTTGTGAGGGTCATAGCAGGATCGGCCTTAGGCCCGCAGCCTACCAAGGCCCAAGAGTCCCTGCCTGCACCTCCTGCCTCCTCCCGTGCCTGTCAGGTCCGCAGTCCCTGCCTGCACCTCCTGCCTCCTCCCATGCCTGTCAGGTCCGGGACTGTGTGGCCTCTCTGCCCAGCAGCCTGTGGGATCCCCTGTGGGGACTGAGGGGAAGAAAACACTTTAATTCTCTGCAGAGTGCGCTCTGGAGGGTGCTTGTGGGGAGAGCAGGCCTATGGGGTCAGAGCAGCCGAGAGGGCCCAGGGTGCCTCCAGCTGGGGCCAAGCTTCTGGCTGGAGAGAGCCAGTGGTCAGGGCGAGCTGCCAAGTCATGGGCCAGCCCGGAGCCGGCTGAGGGAGGCAGGGCTGCTCTACAGTTCCGGGGCAGGGGTGGGGAGAATATTTATGTAAATAGGGTGAGCTGCTGGATTCTAGAGGGATGAAATCATGCTCCTCCGGCACGGGGTCTGGGAGCCAGCCAGGAGGGCTGGGCGGGCCGGGGCAGCACCAGACCCTCGGTGAGTGGGGGCTTGGCAAGGGAAGGTGGCCAGGGATGCGGGGAAGTCGGCAGGAGGGCTGGGACTCTGGCCTGGATTCTGACCTGCTCCAGGCCCTGCTTCCCCACAGGCCAGCCATGATGCGTGGGGAATCTGAGTCTGGCCCTCAGCACAGCCATGTGGAAGAAGAGGCATGCAGGGAGAGAGCACCATAAACAAGCCGGGGCTGGCGGGAGTGTGCCGCTGACCGAGGGGAGTGTGCTGCAGGTCTCTGGCATTGCCCTTCCCTGACTCCTGAGGGTTCCATGAAGCAGGGCCTTGCAGGGTGTCCCAGCCAGATGTCAGACCTGGGGGCAGGTGAGGGGCGGTCACTGGATGCACAGGAGCACCACGGAGGCATGGGGTAGGGAGGGACTTGTGAGGACACCGCTCTGTGGAAATCTCATTTGCTTAGACTGCAACCTGGCCCTCTGGCTCAGGTGACCTGGCCTCTTGCTGGCCAGGCCGCCGTGATCTTCAGGAGTAGAGGTCTGACACGCACCTGGAAGGCGGACTCTCTTGGCGGTGGCTCTGGACTTTGGGCCCTCCGGGTGCAATCTGTCTTCCGTCCAGGGTGCCTGAACTCACTCTCCCTGGCAGTGCTCCGGGCAGGACAGATGTGGCCGCCTCTCCTGCTGCCCAGATCACATTCCTGGCCCTGGATTAAAGCAGTTTTGCAACAACAGAGTGGCCTGTACTCCAACCACCCTTGCACAGCCCAGAGGAGGACATCTGGTAACAGGTATCTGTAGAGAGTCTGCGCTGGGGGCCAGGGTGGGCAGGGGGCAGGGCGTGGAGACAGAAGCCGAGAACAGACCACGGCCGTCCAGCTCCACGGTAGAGTCCTCGTGAGCGTGGAGATGCTGGCAGGACCTGCACCTTGCCTGGAAACATGGCAAGTGCAGGCAGGCCAGATGGCCCGTTTTGGCCTCTGTCCTCGCTCTCTGATTTTGGCGTAGGATACAGATATGTGATCCAGCAGCCAGCTTTGGACCATGAGGAGCTGATCATGAGGCTAAGTCTGACTAGTACAAGAAGGCCCTACCCTAGGCCGAGCCCTAAGCCACTTCCTTTAATTCTGCCAGTGGCAACCGCAGTACTGCCCTGGGTGTGGGCTGAGGGCAGCTCACACAGACACCGGGTGGCAGAATCCACCTGTTAGCAAAGATTGGGTGGGCAGGGCCTTGCAGACGGCTCTGGTTCAGGCCCCACGCCTGTGCCTCCTAAGCAGGGAGACCTGTGGCGTCTCCCCGAGACACATGAGGAAGGACTCCACGTCCTTCGAGGCCTACAGGGAAGGGCAGGAGCCAGCGGAGCGTGTGAGCACCCAGCTCAGACTGCCGCCATTAAGAGGAGTCGGAGCATGTGCGCAGGTCAGGCCCGTGTCTGGGTGGCCCAAGAGGCAGAGGAGGCTCGTGTGGGCATGTGTGGTGCAGCCCCCTTGCATCCGGGGCCGAAGCACAAGATGTGGGTCTACTGTGGATGGAGACAGACCTGTAGGCACCGGGCACGAGTGTGAGATGTCATCTGTGTTGTGTGTGCACACGCCCACCTGCTCTTAGAGTCCCCTGCCTTCCAGGGCTGCCTTCTCCTGTGGAATGGCCGACGCAGTCTGAGACGTTCCCTGGGCAACGTCTCCACAGCACATGCCTGGACTTTGAAGATTCTGGGGAGTTTGAGACACTGCAGAAGATAAGACCGCCCATCTCCTTCTCCTCCAGCTCTGTCCTGCTTCCATGTGGGGCTCTGAGGGTTGGAAAGGGGTAGGGAGGGCAGTGTGGGCAGAAAAGCCAGCAGCCCCGCTCTGGAGAATTTATGTACTTTGGCAGGAGGGGAAAACATGAGGGGAGTTCCTGCCTGCTGCCAACCCTTAAGTGCCACTGCTCTGGGGACCCTGCACTGGCTGGGAGGAGGTCAGCGGAGGGGCGGCACCAGGCCGTGAGAGAGGCCAGGCCGGCACTCCGGAGCCCTGCTGGGTGTGTGGCTGTGCCCGAGGGAGCCACACCTGTGGCAGGGGCTCTGGTCCCTCAGGCTCTGCACTGACTCCAAGAAAACTTTGCTCACCTTTCCTGGCTTCTCTCTCTGATTTCTCTGACTGCACAGCCCCAGGATCCTGCTTCTTCTAGAAGTGTTTCCTGTGTGGATGAGGGTTACGCGCTCCAGCACAGATAGCCTTGACCCATGGCGGGCTCTGCCCCACGCCTGAGCTCCGCACAGGGGTCTGTGGGTGGTGGGGTGTGGGCTGACTGCCTCCCTTCTGGCTCTTTTGGTCCAGGACCCAGCAAGGGAATGCAGAGGGAGAACTGTCCTCCCAGACTCCCTCCAGGGAGATTCCCCAGAGCAGGCCTGGGGCCCAGACTCCCTCCAGGGAGACTCCCCAGAGCAGGACTGGGGCTCCGGGGGGAGGGCAGCGTGTGTGCAGTGCCAGGTCGGTGCAGGCCTCCACCAAAGAGTGCTTTCACCCCAGCCCGCCCCTCTGAGCCCCACCTTCTCGCTCCTGGGCCCCCAGATGGCTGGTTGGGGAGTGAGTCTTGGGCCAGACTCCCTAGATGACCTGTGAGTGCTGCAGTGTGTGGCCTCAACCTCCGACCTCCATCCTGTCCTGGTGATCAGGCAGCCTTGCTGTCCTTTCTCCATGGACCGTCTGGGGTGCATCCCTGGGCGCAGGCCAGGGCTTTGTCCAGCAGAGGGACTGGACGCGGCCTGTGGCCCACCTGAGGAGGCTGTGGCTCAGAGACATCCACCGTCATAGATTAGAAGCTTGTTTTTGCTGGTCCGAAATGGAATGGTTCTCTTGTAGACTTCAGAAAGCCTGGGAAATAGAGAAACCAAACACTTGGACCCCTCCAGGCAGCCTCTGCTCCCCTCCCCCCTCCCGCCCCCTCCCTCTCCCTCCCACGAATTCTCGGAATTCCTTCCCCAGCCCCTTGCTGGGCCAGGCCGGGAGAGCTGGGCCAGATCTGGAAGGCTGCACTTTTCTTGCTCTCCTGTCAGGTCAGGGCCTCCAGACTGGATCTTGGCAGGCCAGGAGGCTCCACGCCTCCCACAGCTGATCACTGCCCAAGACCTTCAAACCCTCATGGTGGCTGCAGGGTCCCCAGCTCACGCCCTCCCTCAGAGGCCTCCGCAGAAAGGTCCTCTAGATAGCAAAGCTTGCTTGAGGAGGCCAGCTGGAACCCACTGGAGCCCGGAGGACCGTGGGCTGGCCGTGCGCTCCAGCCGTCCAGTCCTGGAGCCCGGAGGACCTGACACTGATTTGTTTTTTTGGTTTTGGTTTTTGTTTTTGTTTTTCGTTTTGTTTTGTTTTGCAATGGAGTACCAGAACTGATGGACAGAGAGACAGAGATAGAGAGCCACAAACACAGAAAGATTGACACAGAAGACAGTGAGACAGACAGAATGAGAGAGAGGAGAAACAGAGACAGAGAGACAGGGACAGAGACACAGTCAGGAGAGACAGAGGGATGGAGGGAAACGGAGAGAGCAGTAGTAGGGAGGGAGAGGGATCGTGACACAGACGCAGACAAGAGAGAGGAAAATACAGACATATGCAAAGAAACAATCAGGACAGGTAGACAAAAGAAAAGGCAGCAGTGTGTATCCGAGCTTTGCCAGGTGGACGCGGGCAGCTGTTCTGACCCCGCCCAGCGGTGGCTTTGCCCACAGCGGTCCTGGACCAGCATGGGAGGGACTGTCTGACCTCCTGCCTGGGGCCTCCACGTGGACCCAGCTCACCTGATCAGTCTGGGTGCCTCTGCACCGCTGGCGGCCTCTTCCTCTCTACTACTGGACCCACCGAGCTCCAGCGTGGGACAGGAGTGACCACCCCCTCTTGCGGGGCCAGGCCGTGTGCCCAGCATTACCCCCCTTCCATGGGCACAGTCACAGGGAGGCCCTTACAGCCTCAGAGCAAGAGCACGGAGGGCCGTGGAGGGACTCAGTGGGCACAGCCGCGGCGTCCTCCCTCCAGCCATGCTCCATGGTAAGCCTGCTGCGGAGGGATGCCAGCAGATGGCCCCCACCTGGCCAGGACCCCCAGGCCAGACCGAGTGGTGGAGCTGCAGCTACCTCGTCCTGGACCTACACACCAAGCCCTTTGCCGCCGCCGCCGCCACCACACACCCTGGTGTTTATCCACACAGGTGGGACGGCGCCAGGTGGCCTCCTCGGGAGCTCCCTGACAGAGCCCACCTCCTTCTCCCAGCAGCCTCCAGTCGGGGCTTCTTACTGAGACGCGAGGTCCACAAGACACCTGCCTGCCAGCAGACTCCATCTTGTGGGAGACTTCAGCTATCTTCCTTGGCTTGTTTCTCCACCCGTGAAAAGGAGAAATGCTAAAATTTTCCCAAGCTAAGGATAGAAATTAGCACCTAACACTACTGGAGGAGCTGGGCATGAGGGGATTGTTTGTCACGCAGCAGACGCTGGCTGATGCATCCTCACTGTCCGTGTGTACAGGGGGACCATCTGCAGTGTGTCCAGGCCCCCCCTCCTGTTCTCCCCGCTGCAGCCAATTCAAGGCCTGTGCTCCTGTGACAGGATCCTGGAGAGGCCCAGACTGAACTCCAGAGCACCATCTCCTATTAACCAGTGCATGGGATTTCTGCTGTTCTGTGAGTAGGACCTGTGAACCTCACTTTGCCATCTCCCCAGGTTGCGGGAGCTCTGCCAACGCCCTCCCAGAGTCTGCTTCCCCGCCTGACCCCGGGAGCCCAGCATCCAAGCCACTCCGCGTCGCAGGGCTGCAGCCAGAGCCCTTCCCCGCCTGCCTCGCCTGCCTCGTCTGTGAGCGCAGCGCTGAGATCTGTGAGCTCCAGCCAGAGCCCTTCCCCGCCTGCCTGGTCTGTGAGCGCAGCGCTGAGACGTGTGTTATTTCACCTGCTGGGTCCCGCATTCCGGGGCAGGGCTGGGGGAAGGTCATAAAAACGTTGCGGTAACCTATATATTATTTTTATGCCGGTGCTTAACACGGTGTCTTTGACACATACAGGGAAGCCCCGTCATAAATCAAGCATGGGGTCCACCGTGAGCCACACAGGGGGTCACCAGCCTCTCACATGTGTGCGCAGGCCCCAGCGGCCGCTCTCCTGGGGCCCAGCTTCAGGCCCGTCTGGGGTCCAGCTGCCCCTGCCTCCCACAAAGCCTCCCTGAGAGTGGGGAGAGGGTCCAGGACAGAAACACTAGGCAGAGCTCACTTCGGACTTAAAAGCCACAGCTCCTGTGGGTGTGTCTGCCTGAGTGTACTCAGGTATGTCTTGTGTGGGCAGTGGTACACACACATGTGTTCCTGTGTAGAGAGGTGTGCCTGTGCCTGTGCACATAAGTGGGCTTGTGTGTGTGCAATGTGTGCACGCGTGTGTGCACAAGCAGCCCTGTGTGTGCAGATGTGTGCACAAGTGGGCTCATACCTACAGGTAGATGCTTGTGTGGGCCTGCGTACACTATGTGCATAAGCAGGTGTATTGTGCAGTATAGGTTCATTTGTGTGAGTATAAGTGGGTCTGTGTGTGCAGATAGGTGCTTGTGTGTGTGCTGGCGTGTGTACATGTAGGTTTGTGTTCAAACGTGTACTTTTATGTGTGGGTGCATGTTTCACTGTGTGTGCACGCATGTGCATGCACCATGCTTGCGTGTGGGGGGGTGTCCCAGGCACACAGTGCACCTCGAGCCCTCCTGCCCCTCGGTTCCCTCAGTGGGCCGGGGTCTTCCTCTCCAGCCCCTGCTGGCCCTGGACTCTGTGGTCTTTCTCCCAGGATGGCCAGGTGGATGGCGCCATCCCCAAGCTCCCAGAGGCTTAGGGCCCGGATGGCGCCAGGGCTCCCCAGGCCTGGCCAGGGCTGGGCCACGGCCAGGCGGAGGGGGTGTCTGTCCACCCCCGCGTACCGCAGACACAGCAGGGGCCTGCCGGGGACGATGTGGAAGTGGAGAAGGGGAGGCAGCAGGGGCCGTGGCCCTGGGGCTTTTGCACAATGTGGGCCGCTCGGTCTTCTCGGGCTCCTGGGTGCTGGCTCACAGGTGAGGGCCGCACCAGGCCGGCCAGCAGCACTGTGTCCTGGGGAGAGGACACTAGTGCGCTGGCAGAGAGGCCCCAGAGGAGGTAGCAGCAAGCTGCAAAGAGGACACCGGGAATACTGCTTCCAGCCATGGTGGGGGAGAGAGCAGCCCTGGAGCCTCCTCTGGAGAGTCCCCTCCTCCAGGACGTCCCTACTCTGGGTCCCGTGGGCCGCAGTATCTGCAGCCAGAGGCGGTGACCAGGGCATGTGTGTAGTCCGGTGCCACCTGGACTGGGGTGTGGGTGAGACAGGCCTCTGGGCCCTCTGGAAGGGCTGGGCAGGGGCTGCTCGCAGAGAACTGTCGGAGGGAGAGAAGCAGAGAGAGGCTCGGAGAGAAAGCAAGAAAACAAGCTGGAGGACAGGAGCAGCATGGGGAGCAAGCGTTCTGAGTGCTGGCTCCCCAGTCCTGTCTGTCCACGGACAAGGCCTTCCTCTGCAGTGCCACAGTATGGGGCAAGGCACTGACCCTAGAAGCTTTCTGGGTTTAGGCACCGCCCTCTGCTGCCGATGCCCAGACACGGTGGGCAGCCCGGTCAGGCATCTGCACCTGCAGCTCCACCTGAGACCCCACCGCCCCTCCGGGAAGGGCGCCCTCAGCCCGAGCGCCCCTCCACCTTGCTCAGGAAAGGGGATGAGAGGTGGGGGCTAGTCCCCCCCCCCCCCACTGCCTGCAACACACGCACACGTGTGCAATGCACACGTACACGCGTGCACACGTTTGTACGTGTGCGTGCATGCACGTATACGTGCACAGGCGCACAGAGCGGAGGTGGTGTCTGCCTTCCACTCTGACACATTTTATTAAAAAGGAAGAAGGAAAAAGAAAGGAAAATATACGAGAGTCTCCCACAAGGACCACACACGGTGGCCTGGTGCGGCGGCCGCAGGGCCGGCTGAGCCCCAGCTGGCACCGCGGCAGCGAGCCTGCCACCTCCAAACCCAGACCCCCGAGGCAGCCGCGGTTGAGGGCTGGAGCCGGAGCCGGGGGGGTCCCGGCTCGGGGTTCCTCACACCATCACTGTCCACTGACTCCCCTAGGACTTGGGACCTGAGGTCACGTGCGGTTTGGGGGCAGACAAGGAAAGCCTTGTCCCTTATGGTGGTTCTGGGGGTGGGGGAGGTCATTTTGCCGCAGCCCCTACCCAACACCCTTGGTGTTGACTGTGGTGCTGACCCAGAAAACGACCATCCTCGGCCTCCAGCCCGCTGCTACCCCACACAGACCTTGGCTGTGCACCGCTGTCCTTCCTGGGCCTGGCACCGTGGCCCACTCTCCCCTCCCAGAACCCCTCAACAGCCATGTCACCCAGGGGGACAAGATTTGGGAGTCTGGCTGCCTCCCCCTGAGCCCCTTAAGGCTGTGCATTTGTGGGTCTGAGAGAGTCCAGGAGCCTCAGGGCACACAGGGAGCGGGCTGGGTGGCAAAGCTGGACAGAGGCTGCTCCCACCCCACCCCCATGAGGAGGGCCAGGCTCCGGCCTGCCCCCTTCTGGGGAACGGTTGCATCACTACCAACTGAGGGGCTGTGGCCGCCCAGACCCCCGCCCCAATGTGTCTGCCCCTCACATTTGCTTCTGAAGGAGACAATTGCGCCGGACCTCGCTGGAAAAAATGTTCTCATTGTGAACATAAACAGGCAGCCCTGGCCTCTGCCAGATGTCCCTGGAAAATGTGTAGGACCCCAGTCAACATATGAAATTTCCATCAAGCTTTTTATTAATCAGGAGGTATTTGTTGTAAACCAACTCCTTCCCTGTCCCTCTGGGTGTCCCGGGAGAGACCCAGTCCCCTCCGGGACCGTCCAGCTGCCTTGTCTCCTGCCTCCCCACCTGACTCCGGCGGAGGAAAAC